CGTTCCTTGCTGTGAGCTCCCTACGTTTTATAAAAAATTATTGAAATCCCCGATTTTTCGGACCTCTGAAAACGAGGAGATGATGTGACGTCAAAACCCTAATACTGAAACAAGACTATTCCAGACAGAGATGAATGATACATGATTTCTGACAGAGTGACAGAGTGAATTAGCGCGAAATCACAGTTGAAAGAATTAATATATCAGTTGCCTCAGTCTCCGTCGGGCGTTTGGCATTTTCTTTTAACTACGTCATAAGAGGGTCCGTTTTCAAGAGATACTATTATTTATGTCCAGAAATAAAACATTCCAGTCAATTTTTCGATCGAATCATGTTGTCAATCATTATTAATGTATAAAAGAATCATTATAAACATGGTTTGAGTTAAGAATTTTACTAAGGTGTAGACGACCATTTTGGGAGAAATCAATTTCTAAGTTGAATGTTGGCTTTCTTTCTCAGTTGAATGTTGGCATTTTTTCTTAGTTTTAAATTTATTCTCAACTGTTTAGTATCTTGCATGAGCACCTACATTACATTTCAGAGTTTTATATTATTGGTTCAAATTTGAAATTCACCAAAGTTTTGGATTTTGTTTGTATGAATCCACCTCTAAGGACCATATTATAAAATGAATAGAGACTTAAGATGTATCACCTAACATTTGATTCTTATCACTTATGACAGATGGAACATGGAAATACCATATTGGTTAGTTATAAAACCATCAAATACTTATGATTTCACATTCAAGATTTGAGGAGATGACCAACTACCAACTTTAGAAGTACTGATAAATGATCATGCATGGAATAAGGACTGTCCATTCAGAAGTGACATCTCAATATCCCTCCATTTAAAAATTATTCAAAATATCTTGGGTTGTTATTTCTGAATATTTGTTTTTCTTCTGATAAAAAATATGTTTATTGAACCGTTCTTCAAAAATACACTAGAATGTCATCCTCCATATTGGTGGCCAGGTAGCCGTGCGGACAGAGTGTCTATATTCTAATTCGTATTCGCTTGCCGGTCGTGGGTTCGATCCCCGTCGACTGCAGAAATTTTTCTGATGGCCCAAGAAAGTGTTTCGGATCACACGTTAAAAGGTAAGGCCCCCGTCATTCCTTGCTCGCACAAGACTTTCGAAGACTTTTGAGGGTTGCTCGTAAGGGGGCAACCGAATGACGGATAGAACAAATTTTAGAACAAAAATATTTGGTAGAAGATCCAAGGAGTGAGCCAGTTTATTTCAGACAAGGAATAGTGATAACACTGATTACTTTTGAAATAATGTGGAGATATAATGGATGTGGGTTTTTAGGGATAAAATTTGATATAATGATAACAGAACATGAAATTCTGATTTCCAATCAGTTTCTAACCCACTAATATTTTGAAATCTGGTTCTGTATCAGGAACTGGATATCAGTAATGGCAAAAGTCATGTATCGCCCTAGAATCCTATTTTTTTTCAAAACTGAATTCACTTGGCACTCTAAAGTCTCGAATGTATAAATGTTGAAACTTAAATGCTGAACGTTTTTATGAAACCACCCATAGGAACAATTAGATTTCCACCAATTTGAAATCTTATCAATAATCTATATCGAATGTATATGTATACGACATCTGACATGCCTGTTTTCTCTATACAGTGTGTCCCACTTACCATGCTCACCATGGGTATCTTTTTAACGGTGAGAGATACGAGGTCGGTTAAATGACACCAAATGTGGAGTTTGTCAAGGCCAACTATAATGTGAAAAAATATCTTGTAAAAATCTATTCGTTTTTGTTTTATACGCAAAAAACAGATTTTGATCATTTTCAGTTTCAACTTCTTTATTTATGAAAATATTCAAATAGGAATTTCACATTCTCATGGCAGTTTTTCGAAGTGATTTCGGAAAAAAAAATGGGATTTATACCAACTCTTCTAGAATTTGAGATATCAGCACTAACTTTAGTTTTCCAAATGTAGGTCATAGCTCACTATGACTTAGTTACATATAACTTTTTTTCCTCTTTCAGATGATGTGTTGCAGGAATGCAGTTGATTTTGTTTGAAAAAAATCGCTAATGATATTTCGCAATTTTTAACATGAAAAAAATAATATAGTATGCCCTGTAGATTGAAATTTTATTTTGCAAATATGTGTAAACGAACGAAAAAAAAAAGAAATCGGTCAAAAACTATAGTTTTTTTGAGGGTGCTCCGGTCTTAAGTGGGTCACACTGTACATACAGTGTGTCCATTCAGTGCGTAATTCTTCGATATCTCGAAAGCCATAACCTATAGAGAAAAACTTTGAATAAGAAACTTTTTCAGTTACTAAAGTTGCTCATTTCAAAATTATTGTCAACATTACTGGGTGTTTTATAAAAGCAGGGCAACTCGAAGAAGAGTTTTTTTAAATGGAACACCCAGTATTGTTCATTCGGAATTAATTCCGTCGAGGTTCACCTTCACATCGCTGTGGAAAGAATTGAAATCGGTTGCGGCGTTGCCAAGTTATAATTGATAAATCTATTTTTACCATTATTGAAGAGTCATGTTGAATTGGGCATGGTATATTCATTTATTCAGATTTTGAGAATATTTTTGGCATACGGTAGGAGCAAGGTCCAACGTATACCAATTCAGTAATTTTGCGACATGTTCTCCAACAGGGTGCTCAATTTTGCATTTAGAATTTTGCAAGATTCAGATGACATTCATCAGAATTTTTCAAATGGAACACCCTGTATTTTTATTCAAAAATTCATTTCGACATCTTTCGCCTTTTTATCACTGGAAAACAAATCGGAATCGTCTGCGGCGTTGTCAAGTTATGGTTGATTTACTTATTTTCACTATACTATTTCGGGGTAATTTGTATACGTCATAGTTCTTTCATTTATTTGTATCGTGGAAATATTGCGTTGCTACGGTATAATCAAATTTGTTCATTGACCATTCATATATTTTTTTACAAAAGGAACATTTACAGGCTCTCCAAGTTTGAATTTTGTTCGAAATATTTGTGTATAATGACCTGTCAAACATCGCTACAATCATATCTTGGATTGATTCGACATTTTGCTGAATTTTTTCCCAAGAGCCGCGTAGTAGAGACATATTGTTTGTATCATTATGTTTACCTTCTTCAAGGAGAATGGAGATTTGGATTGTGGGAATAACGACAATAAAAATGGCCCAAATTAAGGAACCATCAGGACGAACAAATCACCCCGAAATAGTAGTAAAAATAAGGAAATTACTCATAACTTGAAAACGCCGCAACCGATTTTGATTTTTCCTTCTGCGATGAAAAGGCGAATGATGTCGAAATAAATCCGGGATGAAAAATACAGGGTGTTCCATTTGAAAATTTCTCATGATCGTCGTCTGAATCTTACAATATTCAGAATGTAAATTTTAGCACCCTGTAGAGGATTATCTCACAAGATTACTGGATTGGTATACGTGAGACCTTGCTACCACTGTATGCCAAAAATATTTTCGAAATTTCAATAAATGAATATATCATACCCAATTGAACATGACCCTTCAATAGTAGTAAAAATGGGTTTATCAATTATAACTTGGCAACGCCGCAACCAAATTCAATTTTTTTTACAGCGATGTAGAGCTGAACTCGAGCGGAATAAATTTCGAATGAACAATACTGGGTGTTCCATTTGAAAAAACTCGTCTTCGAGTTGCCACGCTTTTATGGAACACCTAGTATCGTTGGAAATATTTTCTAAATGAGCAACTTTAGTAACTGAAAAAGTTTTTTCTCCAAAGTTTTTCTCTTGTGATAATTGATTTCGAGATATCGAAGAATTACGCACTAAATGGACACACTGTATAATATAAATATTAGTGGTCATAGGAAAAATAGTGAACAAAACTCGTTGGAAAGTGCATTTTCTGCGCTCGTTTCGTTTCCGAACTCCCCGCTCTGCGGCTCGTGCTAAACGTCCAGTCGCGCGAAATGTCAGTTTTTACACTATACCTTTTCTCAACTCCAATTTCGAAATCGGTAAGTTATATTTCGGAAAAAGTAATCTCGATTTCAGAATTGGTTGATTCGATTTCAGAAATGGTAAACTCAATTTCAGAATCGGTGAGGTGAATTTCAGAAAAAGTAGGTTCAATTTCAGAAAAAAAAATCCTCATTTTTGTTCGAAATGTTTTGAATTGCATGTGAAATCAACAAACTATATTTACAATATTTAACTTTTCAACAACAATTTAATAACATAATTATAATCTCAACTTAATCCACAGACATGTCATCAATCCGAATCGAAGAAGGATAATGACGTTGCACATGATTATAAGAATGCCAACACATTCGAGGTGTTATAGTTCGCATTGAATGTTCTGCACATTCTTAAAGGTATCCCCGGCTATAACCCTTTGGCGATGCTCTTGCAAAAAGCACTTCACTTTTGACTTGAAAACACCCATATATATCTTCAATCGGGTTCAACGTTGGGCTGTAAGGTGCCAATCTGCGAAATATAACATCTTGAAATTCTTCCTCCATGCATATATCTTCTATTCTTGAATGTGCAGGTGCATTATCCAGAATTACCACTATGGTATCTGCAGGATGCCCATTTCAAACTTACACTCTCAAACACCGTTTCATCTAAACAATCTTATCTTTCGCAATTAAAAACATTCCAAACAGATAATAATATGAGGATTTATTATCTGAAATTGAACCTATCGAATTCTCTAATACAACTTACCATTCCTGAAATCGAATGGATATTTTCTGAAATTCATCTCACCGATTATGAAATTGAGTTTACCATTTCTGAAATCGAACTAACCAATTCTGAAATCGAGAAAACTTTCTCCGAAATATAACTTACCGATTCCAAAATTGAAGTTGAAAAGGTATAGTTATGTGATATACTATTCTACTACCAAGGTAGTTTTCGTCATATTATTAACCACTAGAGCCAATGAAGACATAGCCACCTCTGTTATAATCAACCCGAATTCACTGTTCTCATATGCGATATTCACATGAATGGCACTCGAATCTAGTAGGTATTCATCAATAACGATGAGAATATCGACTTGTCATATGCTGTCATGGTGACCAAATTGTAATCAGAATTGAAAAGAAGTACTTTCATAGTGGCACAGGTCCACATTTCAGTTTCACAGAACTATGATGATTGGAATATATTGCTAGTGGTGAAAATAAGTAATATTCACCTTGGTAGTGAATATTATTACAACTATACATTATACCCCTCGGCTGAAGCCTCGGGATACATTATACTCCTCGGCTGAAGCATTGGGATATAATCTTGGTCCTTGGGTTATAATGATATTCTTCACTACCTTGGTGTATAAATAACTATTTTTTTCAAAGTGGGTTGTCCCCCATGGTTTTATGGACAGTACGTAGTATGGCTTCAAGGTCGTGTAGGTTAGTCACAGCCTGCTTGTAGATTCTGCCTTCGGGAAGCCCATCTGGTTCGTACTTCAGGATTTCAATGGCTTCAGAAAGAATTTCTCTGGAAGACTGGAAAAAAATGTTAGGTAGGTCTTACATCAGAACAATAGTACAGGGTATTCAACCATGATTGAGAGACACGTGATAAATAACCAGGCATATTCAACATGAGTGTATCGAAAAGAGATGCCGCATTAGAAAATGGTCACGTGACCCTCAATTGTTCAATAAAATCAAACCAAAGATGAAAGGAAAGCTTCTGTTTTGGCTAAACATTATATACGGCGTTGTGTCTCACTTCAAACGCCTAACCCCCCCCCCCACCCCCCCCCTCTATATATATCTCAGCCATTAGTGGTGCGATCAGGACTAAACTCAAACCATCAAATATGATCAGTTCTTCAGAGACAAGTTTCCTTCTGGCGAATAAAAAGGAGTCAATTTTTATAGAATCGTATTAGGAATTTTTCTGCAAGAGAACTAACTCCATAGTATTGTAACTCATGCATTTAAACCTCCATATGCAAAAAATCACCTGATTCCTGATAAGCAGGATTGACATAATATTCTTCATTTTCAGCCTCTAAAAATAGTGAATGGAAATTAACTGCAAATTTTGGAACGTTCAATGGCTCCGGTAGGTAGAAAATCATGATTTGAAAGAAGAAACACTATATACAGGGTGATTCAGGTTTTGAGGCACAAACAGTAATGAGAGATAGATCTCATCATTTCAATCGGATAAGTTCATATAAACATTAGTCCGATCTCGTCCAGCAGCGGAGCTACAGGGGGTCAAAGTTCAATAATTTTGTTCTATTAATTGAAATATCTCGCTTTCTTCTTGATATTTCTTTCTGAAATTTGGTGTGGTCAATACTTCCTAGAAGATCATCATTCCAAGCTATTTAGAGATTCTCAAAATCTACAGGGTGATAGCTTTTTGTGAGTAGAAGCTTCTTTATCCCCCCCCAAACTTTTTCGTCGTACGCCTCTGGCATCTTTCACTGATCAAATTGTGTGGATCGTTCAATTCAGAGCCTTTTTCGTTTCACAATTCTTTTCGAGAAAACGAACCGTTTTTTGACATAAATAAGCAGATACGTTCTAAGACATGTTAATTTTGCCTATGTTTCGCTTAAATTCTATTCTTTGACCAAATCTTGAGAATACAATGAAATGTACTCACTAAAATTGCGATCACTAGTCCAATCTGGATCAGTTACGGAAATACGAAGGGTAGAAAGTCGAGGTTTTTTTTTCAGTTAAATGTTTAAGCAAAACAGGCAAAATTAACATGTTTCAGAACGTATATGCCCAATTATCTCAAAAACAATTCGTTTCTCGAAAAAATTCGACGTACGAAAAAGCCTTCAAATTGAACGATACACACTATTTGATCACAGGAAGATGCCAGAGGCATACTACAAAAAAGTTTGGGGGGGATAAAGAAGCATCTACCCCCAAAACCGTATCACCCTGTAGATTCTGAAAATCTCAAAATGGCTTGAGATGATGATATTCTAGATAGTATCGACCACACCAAATTTTGAAATGATATTTCGAAAAGTAAGCGAGATATTTCAATTAATAGAAAAACTTAATTGAACTTTGACCCCCTGTAGCTCCGCTACTGAACGAGATCGACCTGATGTATGTATAAACTTTTCTGAATAAAATGATGGGATCTACCTCCCATTTCAGTTTGTGATCTAAAAACTGAATCACCCTGTATACTATTTTACGAAATCCTTTATAAACCCTTCATAGGGTCATATGAAAACTTACATACCTATATGGGTTTTGAATCATGGAAAACAATATTATGAGCTAAATTCTTCTTAAAAAAAAAATCATAATATGATATCAAGAATTTGGTAACGATACTCGTGATAAAGAGGGGGAAGGACGTTTAAAATGAGACACGCCGTATACATGTTGATGAAGTGACTCTTTCAACTTTCCTTTGAATACATGATTTGGTACCTATACTGACCATCAGAGCAGCATAGAATGATTCTGGATCGCCTTTTCTTTTGCCAATTTCCATTATTGCGGCATGCAGTTCGAACAGTATGAGTCCTTTCACTCTTTTCTCACCTAGAAAATATATTGTTAGTATATGTTCCGGTACATGTGGAATTCATAAAGGTATGTATGAAAACAATTCCATAAAAAATACGAGGACCTAAAGTGTATAGCGATATTTTCCCTCGTGAACTACAGATCGAATTTTCCGTCGTTTATTTCTATTTCAAGTTGAGCGCTGGGTGGTATTTGCAATAACAGTAATGCCACAATTGATGGAATTTTCTTGCACGAAACTGAATTGATCGAGAAAACATTATCTTGGAATTCGAACATCCTATAGATATAAAAATAATTCCAGGTGATAGTTATCCACTGTTGTTTTCGAATTTTTTCTGTATATCTGACGGTTTGGCTAATATAGAAGGAGAACACACTATTGACTCACTCCGTATATTTGATTGAACCAGAGTGACAACACAACATATTCCTTGAATATTACTCAATTTCAATGGTATTCTGTAGTTATCAAACATCTACTTGTACTTGCAATATGTGTTATATCTTGATTGCTGTATTATTGTGGAATAAACATATAGATCATTTGAGAAACAAACTTAATCCTATTACAGGCATTTCATTCAAAATACGAAATTTCATTTCTACTAGATACTTGAAGAGTATTTATTTCTCGCTTATTTACTCAAAATTTCAATACCTAATATCTATATGGGGAAGTTCCAATATTTCACGTTTGAGTCCATTTCTGACTTCACTATATGAACTTAAAATATGTTAAAACTTCACGAACGATAAGATTTCCACAAATTTTTAAACACACGACATGTTTCGCTAACACAGTAGCTTCGTCAGGTGATATACTGGTACAATGAACTAAACTAACGTTGGCTTGCTCAACTTTTATATATCTTACCTTCCCAAACTGAAGGATTAGTTACCTGTGGACAGGTACGATAAACCTTCATTTTCGGAAATTAGGCACAATATCTACATTAAATTACGGTATACCGGAATAACTTGAAAGAGTTGATATCAAATACATATATATTATTACTTACTAAGAAAACAAATTCAACAGTGGTGAACTATTAAGGTCTAATTGATCATTAAGTAAAATGTCAAAATTTTTGAGTTTGTTGATTTCTAATGATTCAAAATGATTGAGTTTCAGTCCTTTATTTGCTATGTGCAGAATTTTAAAATTATCATCAAAACTATGGTTTTCTTCTAATATATGGTTGGCGTATGTTGAAGAAGAATATCAATTCTCAATTTCGGAAGATTTTATTCTTTATTTTTCATGTTCTCTTTTTGAATGTTCATCAGATATAATGCAATGTTCGAAGTGGCAAATAGCCAGGAAAGTAGTTGTTTTCAGTTGAATATACAAAATGATGTGTGCATATACATATTTTTGTCTGAAGGAGAATGCGCAGATTCGTGATAGAGTCTCAATTCAGAATTCCTTTCCACGCCCTGTATGATTAATGTCAATTTATCATATACCCAAAAGCAAGGTTGATATTGCATGATTATTTGCATTTTTTTTAAACTTGTTATATCCTATTATAATTTCATAATTGTATGTATAACATTATGTATATTGTTTATGTATCCCTATTATAAACAACTATGTTTCTTGGGATAATAAAGACAATCAATCAATCAATTTCTCACATTTGCAATAAGTTTTTCCAACGAGCGCGCGGAAAAGTAACTGACTAAAAATAGTTTTGAAAGTTGTCGTACTTTTCCGTACGATTTTACTTTTCCGCATTGTAATTACTTTTTTGCACGATTCCACCAGAACGTACTCATAGCAACAGTCGCTATAATAAACTGACAGTAGTGGAAGTCAATAAAAAAGCATTCCAAGGGTCATTTTTTCGTGTACGCAATTCTAATTAGAAATGGACAGCTCAGGAAACTTTCAAGATCTTTCTCTGAAAATAATGGATGCAAACAATAACCAATCAAATTCAAATAAGAAATGCTTTTCTCCAAGATCTTGCGGCATCTGCTATATTATAGCATGCAACAAACGCAAATTGCACATTCAATTTCAATATTTACTATCGTTGATATTCAAGATATTGTTATTCAAATGTTCTTAAAATGAGTTTTCTATTATATCGATGGAAGAAAAAATTATTTCATAATTTTTCAGTGCATGAAAATATCGTGCGGAAGAGTAACTTCATCGCACTATTGCTGATAAGTTATACTTTTTCGCAACTAAATGACCCATGTAACGATTCTTTACTATGGGTCATTTTGTAACATCATTATATAATATTGTGAATTGAAACCTTTTTTTTAATGAATATAATATGGACAAAAACACTCGTAGGGAAAACTTTGTACCCAACTCTTGCGGAAAATGTCTTTTCCGCCCTAGACGACTTGTCCGAACTCCGCTTCGCGTCGTTCGTGCAACCGCCGTCAGGTACGGAAAATTACTACTTACCGCACTTGTTAGGTAATAGTATATTACATAACATAACATAAAATGCATATTACGCACGAAATGGAGAGAGTTACACACGATGCCGCATAGCGGCGAGTGTGTAACTCCACAAGTGCGTAATTGCTTTATAATTCGAGAATTGTACTATACTTTTTTTACGACTACACTATATTTGCTTCCGGATAGTGCAGATATAGTATTGAGGCACAATTAACGGATACCAATATAAACCATCTCCCGTCACTAAGCCAGCTGCATGAAAAGTTACAAATCAAAATTCTTGTGTTTTTTTCTTGATACATTGCAAACTGAGATATTTTCCTCAATTCGAACTGAAATGGAGCCGTTTTTCATATCTAAACATCTTTATTGATAGGTAGCCAAAAACACATTGTATAAAAAGTAATATTCGTAATGGTTATTCATTTGTAACAGTGCAGCACGAGAGATTCTGTAATCGTTCTTAAAAATATTTTAAAAAAAGTTCTCCAACTGCACTCTGAACCACCCCCACCTTCGGAGCAAGCGCTTCCTACAACTGAGCTATCACCATTTCTCCGTATTAGTAGATATTTTAATAATATAATATCGAAGATGGATCTTTTTTGAAGAGGAATTCATCAATTCAATATTGAGTGTGTATGTTATTTGAAAAATCACCTTCAACAAGAGCATTCTGCAGAAAGTGATTGATCTGTTCAGCATTAAGTATCTTTGATTTTTTACTTCGGAATCCATCCTTCCCTCTTGAGGAAATGGGATATGTTGCTATATTAATATTGTGTTGATATTTATATAGTGTTGATCGTAACATGGACTATATCGACCAGAGTGATGATGATTTCATGAAATTTGGTAATTCTTGAAATTATACTGGAAAGATATTTTCCGAAAATGACACGGTATTATTTCTAATTCTCCAGTTCAGGGATTTTTGATGTGCTATTTAGCGGGTAGCAACTCATTTTTTACCATTCTAGCTTTTTCCAACATTTCTGGTGGTGTAGAAATAATCTGCTCATTGTCATCGCTCGACTTTTTTTTTAAACTGAAATTGATGATTCTCAATAGAAAATAATCATATATTCAAAAAATATAACTTTCCTGGTGCTTTCGGTTCCGGTGGATAGCTGGATTGATTCATAAAAAGATAAGTACCTATACCCACCTAGCTAGTGATATTAATGAAATTATTGTTAATTATTATTGACACATCGCCTAAGCAACAAAAAACAAAGTCATCTATCAACATACCTAGGAAACCGTGCGATCGCTCTCTTTACGCGCACGTGTGTGTAAGGAGAAGCTTACTGCCGCATTGTTTTGTGTACAATATCCATCACTTACAGTAGTAGTCGTAGAAAAATAAATATTTTTGTATGATATGAATCGAATTTTCCTACTAACCAGGTATCAGTCTCTCCATCAAATCAATCAACTCCCGGCACACCCTCGCCTTGAGTTCTACATCCTCATCACAAACCTCTGCAATGCAGTCATCTTCCTGGCCAATCAGCTCCGACAAGGCTATCTTCACATCGGTCAAGTAATAGTGGTTCTTGTGCAACAGCTCGCTGTATGTCCGTACGAAGCTCCTGTGTGATTCATCGAAATAAATAGTAGCGATAATTCAATAGTACCTACATTAATCTTTGGAAGAAGTCCATGGTAACTCAAATTGGAGAGCTATAGTACATGGATGAATAAACCCGAAGTCATCTCCACAATATTTATTTGACGATCAGAGATCAATCATCAGCCAAGATTGTATTTATGAAAATGAAAGAGTTGAACAATTTCATAATTAAGACAATGAAATGGGGCAAGACACAGACGTATGCACTATGATTAGATATATTAAATTGGTGCTTTTTATCAGTCTGTGTCTTGCCCCATTTCATTGTCTAAATCATCAATTTCCTCAAGTTTTTCATCTGAATCAAGATAATCCTACTTGGTCGTAAGTCTCTTTCTTACTTCTGAAAATTTCAGTCTCCTATACATCAATAATAATAATAATATAATAATAATTTATTCACTCACGTTACAAGTTACGAGTACAATATGTGAGCACATTCATAGAATGGCGAATTGTGAATAAATTGAAAATACTCACGAAGCAGGGCAAGTCTGCTTGTGTGTAAGAATACATAGATATCTATCAATATTTCAATACATGTTCATGAGTGGAATTAATAATTATGGATATACAATAGGATGATGTTGGTTTAAAATATATATGTATATAGTATCATAAAAAATATAGATATGAATAAAAAATATATAGAATGAATAAAATTACAACAGAGATATAACTAACTGATAAAACTGGAGAATAGAAAGATTTTTAAAATAGACAAAAGATGATGGATGATATATGTATAAAATGATTACGATAATAATTTGACGACTTGTAAGAAGGTAAGATAAGCGTATACTATAGGATAATTTTTTACATTTATATTTCGATCATCTCGTGTATTTCTGCACGGGAAGTATGTTGAACATAGATTTTAAGTTCATTCTTATATTTCCTAGGGTTTGGCTCGCATTTTAGTATTTCTGGTAGACAGCTGAAGAGTTTTGGACCCAAGTAATGATAGTTTCTTTGACCGACTGACTTGTGCATGACTGGTATAACAATACTTTCTTTGTGGCGAGTTCTATAGTTATGACTGTAGGTAATCAATTCGTTTTTGTTTTTATATTGAACTGTAGTTATGTTTATGAAGAATAGTTGTCTTGGATCAAATATTGCAGTTTCCGTGTAGAGGAGGTTGGTAGGATAATTGTATCTTTTCTGCAGAATACATCTCAAGAAACGTCTTTGAATGACTTCGATGGAGTGCAGAAATGTTTTGGAGACTCCCCCCCAACCAATTATGCCGTAGCACAACTGAGATTCTACCAGACTTTTGTACAGAACATGTAATAATTGTTGTTCCTATCTTAGATGGTTATCTAGAATTATTCCGAGGTATTTGATTTTTTGACAGGTCTGATGGTGGTCGTGTCGGATATTACTAAGTTATATTCTGGCAAGGATATATCATAGCTACTGAATGGTTAGTAGTACGTTTTGTCGAAATTTATTGATAACAATCTATAGTCAAACCACTTCTTTATTTTGCTCAGGTCGTACTCTAGCTTAAGCTTCAGATTGAACCAGTCATCGTCTTCGCAGAATATGACTGTATCATCAGCAAAGCTAATAATTTTCGAGTTGGTATCCAGTAGAAAGAGATAATTCAGGTAAATATTGAATAATATTGGCCCTAAGACCGCTCCTTGGGGTACACCACATGAAATAGTTTTTTCATCGCTAACACTCACATCAATTTTTACTCTTTGCCGCCTATTTGATAGATAGCTTTTGAACAAATTATGTGGTATGCCTCTTATCCCCATATCTTCAAGAGTTTTGAGTAATATAGAGTGGTCCACGGTATCGAAGGCTTTTCTCAAATCTATGAAGACACCAATTGATGGTCTAGACTTATCTGCACTGATATATTCTTTGTGTCAATATTCTTATCGGATCTTGAGTAGACATGTTTTCTCTGAATCCATACTGTGATTTTGACATTAGAATGTACTTTTCAAGGAATTTGTTCAATCTCATCTGAATAACCTTCTCTAATATTTTGGCTAGACATGTAATCAAGGTAAAAGGCCTATAATTTGAGACATCTGTCCTAATTCCATTTTTATGAATCGGTGTCACCACGGCCGTTTTGAGTGCTGAGGGGAAATACCCTTGTTCCAGCGATTTATTGACTATGTAAGTAAGTGGTTTTGTTATATAGTTGGAGATAAGTTTGAGGGTTTCTGCTTTAATATTATCAATGCCAGGAGCTTTTTTATTTTTCAGTTGTGATATTATTTCTATCAATTCATTTTCAGTTGCAGGAAATAGGAAAATGGAGTGGTCACATAAACTTTTCCTTTCCATATAATCTGGATTTCTATTTATATTTTCAGCTAGTTTTTCACCTACAGATATGAAGTATTCGTTAAATTTGTTCGCTATTTCGACGCTCTCACTGATTTCTTCATTATTTTTTGTTATGATCGATTTTATTGGTGGAGGTTCTTCGTAAGTCAATATTTCGTTTACAGTTTGCCAAAGTTTCTTAGAATCGTTTCTCTCTGCTTCTATGAATTCGTAAGATACTGGGGTGCTTCCATGAAAAGTCAGACAGAATTTATTATTTCAGAACTGAAAATTTCACAGAAGGAATATGAGTAGTTAGTGAATTAGACATACTGTTTTCTGTTCTCGAATCCGAAGTGATTTCCAACCTATCTTGTCTGCTAATATGATTTTTCGGGCATGTAGGTTGTTCCATGGCTGCTAGCGAGCAGTTTTTATCACTGATGGTAATTTCAATTGATCATTGACTCTTGGTTGACAACCCTAACTCAATAATTACGTAAGATACGGAAGGGGGGTGTTTCCATGGAAATCGACAGAAATGAAATTTTCAGAACTGATTTTTTTCCGGTAAATTATGGATAGATAATGAATTTAGCGTCCTGATTCCAAATCCGAAGTGATTTTCAACCTATTTCGCCTCCTTATATCATTTTCTGGAAATTGGGGTTCCATGGCTGTTGGCGAGCCGTGTATATCACTGAAGATGACTCCACTTGGTCATATAGTGCATTTTTGATATATCTCTTGCTCCAGCAAATTTCAGGATCCTTACCCAACGAATACGTAAGTTACAGAGGTGTTTCCATGGAAAGTGAGACAAAAATGAAATTTTCAGAACTGCAAATGTTCCAGAAAAAATATGAATAATTAGTGAATTGGGTGTCCTGAATTTGAATCTGAAGTGATTTTCAACCTATTCTGCCTCCTATTATCATTTTCAGGAAATTGGGGTGATTCCATCGCTGTTGGCGAGCGTTATATATCACTGAAAATGACCCCGCTGGATCATAGAGTGCATTTTCGGTATATCCTTTGCTCCAGCACATTTCAGGATCCTCACTCAACGAATACGTAAGATGCAGAGGTGTTTTCATTAGTGGTGAGACACACTGTATATAAAGCAATATATACTTCAACGTTTGACGTGGCAAATAGCCAGGAAAGTAATTGTTTTCTGTTGAATATTCAGAATAATATTATGTATTATGTACAGGGTGGCCAACTAAGACTCCAGAGTTCGATTTCTCTGTTGTCTTGAGAGATACAAAAAAAAGTCATGTATCAAAATAAAAGTAATAACCGAGCTCCACATTTCAAAATTTCTTTGAAATACACAGGGTGTTCCGTAAGGTCACAGCACATCAAATCTTTGTTTTTTTTCATTATAACACCCTATATTTCATTTCATTTTTGAATACTCCCTGAAGATCTGATTTCAACGACCCATCATACTTATGGTCTAGCAGTGAAAGTAACTGACATATAGGGTGTGCAAAATCGAGATTTTCCAAGTTCAGGTTTTTTTTTCTGTCGAAACTGTTCATTATTCGTTAAAACGGTTTACATGTCAACTTTTCACTCACTATCAATTGGTGTTCAATTGAAATTGATACAAGGTGGTCAAAAAATCTAAATTTATAATTTGTTCCAATTAAATGTCAATTGAACACCAATTGATAGCGAGTGAAAAGTTAAGATAGGGACATGTGAACCGTTTTGACGAATAATGAACACTTTCGACAGAAAAAAATCCTGAACTTGGAAAATCTCGATTTTGCACACCCTATATATCAGTAACTTTCACTGCTAGACCCTAAGTATGATGGGTCGTTGAAATCAGATCTTCAGGGAGAATTCAAAAATGGAATAAAATATAGGGTGTTCCAATGAAAAAAACATAGCTTTGATGTGCTGTGACCTTATCGAACACCCTGTGTATTTCAAAGAAATTTTGAAATGTGAAGCTCGATTATTACTTCAATTCTAATACATGACTTTTTTTTGTATCTCTCAAGACAACAGAGGTATCGAACTCTGGATTCTTAGTTGGCCACCCTGACAATATCTTTATATTGAGGAGAATGCGAATTATCTCCTTCATCAGATTTTGTTTTCAAATTATTATCGTGTGTGTTCAATAGATATAATTCATTGTTCGTCGTGGCACATAGCCAGGAAAGTAGTTGTAGAATGCAAATTTTTAATGTATTTCTTTATATATATATATATATATATATCCATATTTTTATGTTCAATATTATATCTGAGAATATTCCTTTTCAATATTGTGGATCAAATTTTTCGTGCACGGCTGTCGTTCTCTTTATCGTCCATCGAAATATATATCTTATGAATATGCCGAAAGTTATGTTCTCTTTTTCATTTTGTTCTCAGATGAATATTGAAGAGATGAGTTGAATGATTTTTAATTGCGTGGGTTCTGCGATTCCTTGATTCGAATTTATTCACGCTCTTCTTCGAAAAAAGTAAAACCTCATAGGCTCTCTAACACCATTATTCGTCAAATTTTCAATGCGCAGTTTCCATATTGCAAATAAAAAATGTTGTTTATTATATCTTAATAACACTACACTCTGTTTCACTATATTAACCGATTTTCATTAACTAATGATTCTTACCTTACATACAGAATTTGTTGTGACTACACGAAGAAAAAAGGAACACTGTTCCTAGGTGAATAATATTCAATAGTGGCAAGTTGAAACTTGTGTACTGTTCTTGACAGAGAAACAAGTTGATAACCGCAAGAATATTTGTGTTCTTGAAAAAGTACATCAACCACTATTTACCTGTTCCATTGAATTCCAGATTGATAACTGTTAGTGAAGACTGCACTCGTCATTAGTGACTTATTCACTTGTCATCAGTGACTTGTTCATTCGTCATCAGTGACCTAATCACATGTCACTAGTGACTTATTCACTCGTTATCAGTGACTCATTGACTTGTCATTAGTGACTTATTCACCTGTTATCAGCTAGGTTCTATAAACAATTACATATACTTTTCTTTGAAAAATGATAACCTTGGTTGAAAGACAAAACCTCGTGCATTCGAAGAATGTATTGTATAACTATAATGAATGAAGAAATCACAAATATGTTAACGCTGACTACATTTATTGAGACACTATAGATACGGAGTGTTAGCGACTAGCCAGATGCCCTGTATCATTAGAAGCATAGAGCTACAGTTGGTGGTTACATAAGGTTTAGTCACCTATCTACAAATGACTGAATCCGATCAGGAGGCATTTAGGTTGATTCATTCTTATTTGAAGCGTTGTAAGGAATACATTGTGTTGAGTGTTAATAAAGGTGCAAGGTTTCAGAGGGACTGATTCTGTTCTGTCAACCCTATACCCAGCAGTGTTAATAGGAGTATATCACACTCAGAGAAACTATCGGTAGTGAATACCAAACGTTAAGTAGAATAGGCGCCAGTCACTATATTCATCAAATAATACCACAAGAAAATCGTATCATTCTATACTATAAGTATCATACCTACTATTTTGAAGTGGTTATATTTGATATAGTATAGTATTATACAATTCACTGGCGCCTATTTAACCAAACGTTTGGTATCAACTACCGACTATTTTTTTCAGTGCAGGATCATGCGTCGAGAATAACGGCCCATCAGATGCACTGGTACACTTTCTTTTTCTTCAGTGATGAATTTAAAAAAATGAAATCGAAATTAACTTTCATACTCATTGAACATCACTTTCTTCCACTTCGACTATCATCTGAAGAGGAATGGAATCCTGTCTATGATTTCAGCAACTCTGTTCTGTTCTGGAAGAGGAGGAGAGATCAAGAACTCAAAACCCCACAGCTCAGAGCGCGGCACACAAATTGAGAATTTTCACGAAAATGATAAAATTTTTGTTCAGAAGGGCACTTACATGACTTGGAACGCTTGCATGTATACTCCACAAATGCAAATAACATAATGACGCCGTGGGCAGTGGGAGTAGTCGCGTTGGGCTTGCGCACCCGAATTATATATCGTAGATGTCCGAACGGAAAAAACGATGTATAATCACAGTTGAGCCTGCACCAATCGACTTGATAGATTGTCTCGATGAGTTCACTCAGAGCTAGTGATTTTGTCTCAGAAAAATAATTTAATAATGGTGAGTATCCATTAACCTAGCACTTGTTCAGTGTTCACTAATAATTAGCGACCGCAAAACACATATCAATTTGATTAATATCAACAAGTGTCCTGATCATGCTGTGACAATGGTTTTGAAGGGCCTATGAAGTTCAACTGTTTTCCGAACGAGAGCGTTGATAGGTCCAAAACGGGAAAACTTAGACCCATGTTATCTATCCCAGTTTACCAGATGAGGAATGAACATACCTGCACTCCCTGACCGACCCTTTGGGCATATCAGCCAGGTCTTTGCCTATCCTCTCGAGGATGTCCTGGACGGAATAGGAAGAAAGGACGCTGGGACATCGGTCGCAGAACCAGTCCGGACCCTTTTCGTTTGTGGTGTTGTCGATGAAACTTTTCGGAAGAAGATTACCTTCGCAGGAGCTGGAAACAATCCAAATAACTTACTGACATAACTACAATTCTGACTCATAATGAAGACCACAGGGGAAAAAGGGGAAATGTCACAATATCCAGGGTATTTCAAAATAACCTGACCTCCTTACTAGGATAGGTAGAACACTGTAAAATAAGTTGGGTTTGCTCAATAAAAAAAAATACGTAACGGCATCCGTTATCAAGGAACAAGGTGTTGAAAAAGTTATTTTTCAAAACATTTTTCAAGATTATGACGAAACTACTGGAAACATTGTGATGAAATTCCGCAAGAATGTTTCTTGGAATCTGACACATCGCATGAATTTGTTTCTATATCTGACTCTTATAGAGGGCGCTAGTTACACGGCTCGTACCGGGTAATTTTGAATATACCTTTTTTGAGGTTACATTTTTCAATCAAAATTTGATGTGAACTAAAATATCATTCAATTTCACACCAAAAAGGTTCTCATGGTGAAACTCGATACTGTGTACCGTTTTCGGAATATTTCGATTTGTGAATGATGACGTGATAACTGTTGCTGGTATAAAGCTATGTATTAGAGTAGGTATTACGAAAAATAATCACCATTTTATTGGAAACCGAAAACAACAATACATTTCTGATGCTTAATTTACCCAGATAGCACACAATCGCCTAGGGTCATCCTCAATGTGTCGCCAAACTCCTAGAGAGGACGTTATGTATTCTACAACCTGAGAACTTCATCAGGCGTAGATTTAGCGACGTTAATTGTCCTAGAAAAGTTATTTCAGTGACAGCTCTTGGCTGCATCGGATTGCGTGCCTACGGAAGTCTTCAGATAGCATTCCATGAAATAACGTGTCGACGAAGCCAGAAGGAAGAAGAAGAAGAACTAGAAATACTAGAAGTGAGGTTATGTCCCATGATAATATTTCTCTGAGAAATTGATAGGATAATAAGAAATACAGGTAATTAATTAATCGAATCATTGATAGTAGGTACTGGACATGAAATATTGAGTATATTATTTTATTTCAGGAGGTTATTGAGAACACAAACTTGATGATATCATCAGAGCAGAAATGTTTCATTCCAAGATATTTTGGCTTCTTCGGAATCTATCAAATATTGTATGATGGCTTATTGAACTCTCAGTGGATTCAATAAAGATAGGTACCTACCTGAATCAACTCATTGATAATAGGTACTGGACATGAAATATCAATACATTTTTATTTGTTCCAGGAGGTAATTGATGAGAACACAAACTTGATCATTTTATCATCAGATCAGAGATGTTTGATATTCCAACATATTTTGACTTCTTTGGAATCTATGAAAGATTGTATGCAGGCTTCAACTTTCAGTATAGATAGAATGAAGGTACTAGGTAGGAATCAAATCATATTGATAGTAGGTATATACCTACTGGACTAAAAATATCAATACATTATTTGTTTCATGAAGTTATTGAGAACACAAACTTGATGATATCATATTATCAGAGCAGAGATGTTTCATTCCAAGTAATTTTGGCTTCGGAATCTAAAAAAGATTGTATGCAGGCTTGAACTCTCAGTAGATTCAATGAACGTAGGTATATAAATCGAAATATTGATAGTATAGGTCATGGCATATCAATACATTATTCATTTCAGGAGGTTATTGAGAACACAAACTTTTGATGCTATCATCAGAGCAGAGATGTTCAAATCAAAGATATTTTGGCTTCTTCGGAATCTATAAAAGATTGTATGCAGGCTCGAACTTTCAGTAAATTGAGCATCAGAAAGTATGTCCAGAGTTCAGAAATCACGAATGATAACAAGAAGAGAACTCACAACAGAATTAGAACAAAACAAAAACCATCATAAAGTATTATTATCTGTTGATGATGAGTTTTCTCTGAGGAAGAAAAGAACAAAGGTAGGTGGATCAAATCATATATATTCCATGGATATGAGATATTGAATCATTGTTTGTTTCAGAAGGTTATGGAAAACACAAACTTGATCATCTATAAAATATTGTATGAAGGCTTCAACTTTCAGTAGATTCAGCATCAGGAAGCATATCCAGAGTTGAGAAATCAAAAACAACATAGAGAAATATCACCAATGGGCAATAACTTCTAGAGTAGAACTCAACAAGAAGCTGATGAGATATATTTTTTCAAAACAAAACTCGAAAATCTTCACCGATTAGTTATAAATAATAGAATGTTACTTGTTTATTTGAACATATTATTATTCCAGGGAAATTTCGCAAATATCATGATATCCATATTTTTTCAATAAAATTTCATTTTTATCAACCTATCCCTACACATTTTTGGAAGATACCTAAAGATGTTCCCATAATGTCCTATACATGTCCCAGAAGACCTTATAGGAATGTTCTAAGACGTTATTAGGATGTAGAGAACGGCAACAGGAGGACGGTCTAGGGACGTCGTCAGGCTCGCCCTCGACGTCCTGAGGACATTATTGTGAACGCCTCAGAAGGGCCTCAAAAGCTATTTCTGCTATCTGGGTGTAGTCGCGGTTTTCTTGAATGAAAAAATATACTGTTTATGTTGAGCAAATTCATATCAAGAAATTTCAAGAAACGAAGCAAGCAAGCCGATTGAATTGAGACAAGTGTAAATTGCTCCATTCAAATGAGAAATTATTGTATGTACGAATCAAGTCAATTTCAAGAAAATGGATTTGTTTGATCGAAGAAATTCTTTTCATCTGTGTGTGATGACAACACTGTGTCCTACCTGTCTTGACATCTCAGCGCACTGAAATAAGTCTGGAACTCAGTGGGATCCACGCACCTCGCGCACGCGCACCAAAACAGCTTCGACTCCTGCAGATGGTGTCTCCTACTGGGAGTGCCCCACAAGGGGTCCGTGTAGCAAATACTCAGATGCTCCCCTTTTTGGATCCTGGAGCCGGCCCTGACCATGAGGCCGCCTGCGTCGGTGAAGCTTTTCGAGCAGTTGGCGCTGCAGTTGTGCTCCAGCATCGAGGCGCGTTCGTATATAGAGATGTGGGGGGGATTCGTTAGGGGCACTTCGTGGGAGTTGACCTGCAAAGGATTCAGAATTATTTTCACCACTAGCCATGGAACCCACCATTATTTTAGTATTACAGTAACGTATTTTCCTAACAAGTGCGGAAAGTTATATTGAATGTAAGAGAGCAACAGGACAAATGTTTAGGAAAATATTATATCAATTTCTTCAGATATTTTGGGTTATTTGTTCGTATACATGTATGTCGATTCCAGACTGACATATTTTCATAATCACTTATTCCTGATGTTTTTATCTACAAGATTTCGATCTCTCGACAATTGAGTATGTTCTGATCTGATTTGACATAGGGGAGGCAAATATCAACAATTATTGCAGATGACCCGTCAATCATACTATCGAGTAAAACATGTGAAGATATGAATTATTTAGTCAATACAGTTCTAAACGAATTCAGTAACTGGTGCTCAAAGAACAGGCTCATAATGAATGTGAATAAAACACTTTTCATGGAATTCCTGTACTCATCTCGAAGCCTGCATAACTTTAATTTCACTTTCCAGAACAAGACTCTGAAATCAGCTAGCTCTACAAAATTTCTTGGAAAAATGATCGACTCAACCGTCACATGGCAAGAGCACATAGAGTATATATCCAAAAAATTTAATCAATCATATTACCTTGTGAAATCGCTCAGAAATAAGTTAAATACAAAATCACTGATATCAGTTTACTATGCTAAGTTTCACTCCATTGTTTATTATAACATTGCTTCCTGGGGACTAGCCACCGGGATAGACAGGATTTTTGTGAAACAGAAATCATTGCTCAGATTGATTTTCAATATAGATTATAGAACTTCCTGCAGGGAGACATTTCAACAAAATAAAATTCCGACTGTGGCAAGTATTTTCATCTTGAAAACGTTAATGTATATCCACGAAAATAAAGGTCAACTACAAATGAGAGCAGAAGTTCATAATTACGACACTGGGAGTAAAAATATGCTCAGTACTCGAAGACACCATCATGCAAAATATGAAAAATCCCCAAAGTTTATCGGCATTCGTTTGTATAATATTTTGCCACATGATATAAAGACGGTATCATCTCAGCTTTTCAAGAGAAAACTGAAACTTTTTCTATCGGAAAATTGTTTCTATACAGTAGATGAATTTATACTTGGAGTTGACCGTTTGTGTACATAAGTTAATATTTTTGGCGTCGGTGATGTTCTTGTTTAACCATATAGTATTCTAGTCCTATATTATACCTATTCAATGTTTATTTTGTGATTTTTTTGTTTTTTAACCTATATCATACATGTATGTATAAGTTTATGTATTGTGTAGTGTATTTTAAATGACTATTTTATATATTATCTAATGTGTGACTTATCCTATCTACTTATTGTAGCACAAAGGACTAATAAAATCTATCTATCTATCTATCTATCTATCTATCTATCTATCTATCTATCTATTGTACCTCCTTTGACAGTCCCCGCAAGATTAACCCGTCGAGTTGGGGCTTCGCACCCCTTCGTGGTCACTTTGGAGCCCTGCAGAACATCTCCTTTCAAAGACTCGTTCATCCAACGAACAGCGAGGCTCTGGACCACATTACCAAGGGAGGTGTTCCCCGAGGCATATAACCTCCAGAAATTCGAGAAGAATCGGATATTTTGAAGAGCTTTACTGTTCCACGTCGGCATAACGAATGTTTTAGTCACCTTCTAAATGTTGAAGGGTGTATGTGGCCTCTTCGAATTTTTACGAGAATAATCTTTATTTGTTGCGTACTGATATAAGAAATGTAATGCTTTTCTCAATTCATATTTGTCCATGAAGGTTCTATAACCATTACCTTGCATACCATATGATACATTGAATATTGCATACAAGATCAGCGTAGAAGAAAAAATTCTAAAATTATGCTGTTTCCGCATGTTGGCATACCAAACATTGACATTTGATAGCATAGTATGCCATCATACGACTAGGTGATAGCATACTATGCCATCATAGGACTATCAAGTCCTGTGTTGTTCAACTATCTGTTTTTTCAGAAAGCAATGACGAAAAATCAGGAATAATTATACATTATGAAAAATTGAGTATTCCATCATAGGAAATCAAGTATGCCATCAATTGATATCATGATATCAAGTGCCTATGTTGGCTGAAAATATGTTCTCGTTTTTCAGAAGAAATCTTTTGAGAACTCACTCTTCCGCAATGCTGTTCAATTATAAAGTAATGAAAAACTAGAGACTGATGAAAAATATTCACTCGAATATCAATTTGTTACTTTGATATCGAGATTATTCGTAGGGAGTGCCATCATAGGTAATTCTCCCCTACTAGTACCAGATTTCCAGATTTTTTCGACGCCTGGTGTGCCAGAAACTTCTGATGAACGCTCATTATGACAAGTCCTGTAGGTATCTGAAATCCTTCGACATAATTGCATGAACTCTTTCTTACCATGACTATTCCACAAGCTTTCATAATTTCTTCTTCAGTGAACACATTTTTCAGTTTGAAGAACCTCTGTATGAACTGCGAGATCATGATCCGCTCTTGCTGATATTTTTGTGTATTTTTCAGTTTTTCGCAGTGGGATTCCAGCAAGTCGATCTTCTTCCATACTTCTGGCAAGAACTGCTTCTGGTACAGCATCCTCAAGACGGTGATCGATTGATAAGATGGGTGTATCATTCCAAAGTTCCTTATCGATACCTGATAATATATCATTGATATAGTACGCTGATATATATGTCATTTCAAAAATGAATGAAATAAATGAAAATAAATTATACAGAGTGTAACATGAGTATGTTGAGTCATTCAAATGATGTATTTCTGGAGTTACTTCAAGAAAATAGGATTATACAGGGTTCGGCAATGAACCGGGATGATTTTGGGATGGAAATCACCGGCCTTCCTCCTTTATATTGAGAAAATATGACTAGAATGAGTAAAGCGATACCTCAGTGGTCTGAGTATCTAACTTCCACGGTGGTGACTGAGGTTCAATTTCTGCGAGGCGTAATTTTTTTTTTAATTTGTCCACTCAAGTAACTTTGCGAATGTATACTTTTTAGCAAAAGGTTCATCTATGAATAGTAAGGTTGGAAGTACTTTCCATTCTCATGCAGCAGAGCAGTTTTCCTGCCATTCAGCACCTTATAAGCCTTATGAACCCGAATAACCTTCTGAAAACCTAGAGGGTTCAAAGATTCGCTTGTCTAGCAAGACGCTTGTAATCATTGGATGGGTGAGCGCGACGCAGCTACACAGTTAAAGCCTACTATCCCTGTCAAAATGTGGTGCCAAAACAGTAAGAACCCCTGGAAATATATCGAACATGTTCGACAAGGGATATCCAAAGGTCTTCGCCGATCCCAGGGCGTGTCCCCAGCGAGCACAAAAACATCTCAGAGATGTTAAAAGTACGAGATTTCGAGACATTGAACCTCCACTGCGATGTTCTGTTTACACATGAATATAACTATTATAGAACAGCCAATGTTTGCCGCAGGCGGCAATTATCAAGATGTCCTTGATATGTCACAAAACTACCTTCTCCCTAGTTCTTTCTAAAGCCTTTTCATGGACACAACAAAACATTTTCAACGCGTCTTGCGCACATTGAATCGCTGTAAAAAAAAACCATTCTCGAGGTACTTTTCTGAAGCCTTTTGTCAAAATGAACTTTTGCATTAGGATTCCATTTTCCTTGAATAAAGAAAATGCATTAAAAATAGATTGAACATGAAAATATTTTCTTGATATGAAATTACCTTCTCAATCGGTTTCTGAGTAGTGCTTACTACACACAGACATATAATTGGCAATAGGTTTCCCAATTTTTGAATTGTTCTCCACAATGCATAATTTTGCAACTGCGGAGAAGCTGTGTATTGATAAATTCGTACTTTTATATATTGATTACACTGAGGCACCGAACAACATATCTTGCATCTGATGGTCATTATAACAAACTAAATAAGTCTTCTAACACAATAAACTTCACCAAACTCCTTTCTGTTCGTTAGCAGCGTGATGTAAACGTGGTACGCTGCAAACGCGAATGCCAATTGCGAACAACATCGAAAACAAATCAGAATTCATCGTATTGTGACGTATAAGCATGAGACGTTGTGGTGGGACAAACAAAGAAAGGGCACAAAAGAACAAAAATAATACTTCCAATATCCTTCTAAGACCTCTTTGGGAAGTGCATAATACGCCTCAAAAAACATCCTTATGCCTACATTTCTAAAACATCCCAAAACATCTCAGGAATACCTCTCAGTAGGCAAACGAAGAAATGCCATAGAAGAACAAAAACAATACTTCAATATCCATCAAAGACCTCTTTGGTCAGTGCATATTACGTCTTAAAATAGCATCTTCATGCCAACATTTTCAAAACATCCCAAAACATCCCAGGAATGTTTGTGATCGCTGGGTCGTTTCACGAAATAAGAATATAAGTTGGTACCCTCGTTCTTTCGACATAACTGTCTGCGATTTCTTTTTGTGAGGGTACCATAAAACGATGGTGGATCAGTCTTGAACACCTTCAATTTTGGGTGAACTCACAATAATAAATCGCAGGCAGTAAGGTTGTGAGACCGAGAGGTATAACGGCCACGGATTCGGAAACGAATTAAGAAATTGTGTTGTCATGGTAACGTGTTTAATTTTTTGAATGAATCACAGATCGTCAATCCATGAATAATCAATCATTTAGCGTGGTACATATCAAGGAGTTGAATGCCATTTCAGTTATGTGAGTAGAAAACAGAATATTGTTTTATAAGGATCAAAAGTGACACTTTGTTTGACAAAGTTGAACTTTTGCTCCTAGGAATTAAAAAGGATGTACTGGACGTCATCAAGAATAAACAACATTGTGACGGTTGGTTATTTGGGTTGAGACGCATACCTGATTTGTTTCCGATTTCAGCAGATTAAGCATTTCATACCCATGCTGGAGATATAAATACACCTCATTATTATAGTTTAGTATTGGAATTATAAACATCTCAGTCAAGTATTCTTTCTTTTGATCAGAGAAGCCTTCAAGATCCAAATACTTGCTTGATCTGTATTTCGTTCGTTATTCTCGGGACGGATAACTTGTCTATGAATAATCACGGCAAGCAATAGTTTTTTTGCCTCAAACAACGATATTGTTTAGCTTCATTTGATTATCAAGTCAAACACTGTGTAGTATGGAGAGGAATAAGTAATCACTATTATCATTGTTGATACATAGATTAACGACTCGTTAATCTATGGTTGATATGTTGGCTCACTAACCTAACATTTTGCACGACTTGTTCCCATAGCTGGCACTGACGCGGTATTTGCCATTAGAGCACCTGATCCATACACATATATGTCACAGAAAAAATAGCATGTTTCATTCGGATCAAAAGTGACTTTGTTCGACTCGCAAATTTTGCTCTCGTTCGGCTTCGCTTAACGCTCCGCTTCGCAAAAGCAAAATTCGCTTGTCAAACAAAGTGTCACTTTCGATCCTAATGAAACAATCTACTATTATTTTTGATTCTTCATCCTTCTTAGTTCCTAGGAGCTAAAGTTCAACGTAAGCTCCTAAAAACTGGATGTGTTGCCTAGCAACATTACCTTCATTTGTGTCAGTGATAGAAACGTCAATTCAAGAGTTAATTTTGGTATTCAAATGGACGACTTCTGTGTCTGTTGCAGAAAAAATATCATTACCTTATCCCCTCTCATCACAGTATATCTACATTCAGGAATATGAGCCGGAGCTTTTTCGCAAATCTCGCTGCACATCGGCCATCCGCATTTTGAGCAAGGCCTGCTGTTTTCATCAACTGCCATTCCGCATCCCAAGCATACCGGAATTGTCACTTGAGCTGGGCCCCAAATGAGGGGAGGCTCTTGCAGAACCAAGTCTCCCGGTTTGATGTCTTTGGTGGCGACTAGGTGTCTTCCTAGGATGTCATCCGTGCAGACCTGTGAGGAATTCCATAACAAGAATTAGGTGACTTGACGACTGGTTTGTCATTAATAATATTTCTAGAAAATATTTTCCAACTCAATATTCATCAACACACTTTCATTATTAAATCTTCTATTACTTTTCAGTTCGACCAACTATAAAAGCGTGTTTGATCAGTATTTCAACCTACTATTTACTACAATAGCTGACCTGGCAACCTACGTCTTGCTATATACATTCATTCCTAGAAAATATGTTTCTAGTCGAATATTTTCATCAACACAATTCATTATTCTGATTCCTTGTCCTCATTAGTTTGGCTATCAATAAAAACGTATTTCCCTAGTTTTACAGACTCCCACTCATTTTATGTTCTACTTCTTTCCAGTTTAACTATCTATCTCTTTCGTTTTTTGAACTCAACTTCCTATTTTTCACTCCTCTCCAGTTTGGCCTCGAGTATGGCTATTTATGAAAGCGTGTTTTATCATAGTTTTCCAAACTACTGATCATTATAAAGCTCGTTCGCCATTATGGATCCGAAATTAAGAATTCCAAGATTTGAAACGAAAAATCATAATCTCCGACCCCAAAAACCCCCAGATACGAATATTGAATAGAAACGAATGATAATTACGAAACTCTTCCGCCATGTTGGATCCCTTATCTTCAATTTTCCAATTCTGACAAAGGAATCATAATCTCCGACCCTGAAAACCCGCAAGTAACAATTTGGAATAGAATCAGATCATAATTTCAAAACTCTGTCACCATATCGTATCCGCCATCTTGAATTTGTGAATTTTTACGGAAGACTCATAGTCTCCGACTCCGAAAATCCCCAGATACCAATTTTGCATAGAATCGGATCATGATTAAATGACTCGTTCGTCATATTGGATCTGCCATCTTGAATTTGAAAATTCTGAAAACAGAATCTCTCCTGCTACGAAAACAGGGTGATCAGAATTCTGAATCTTTAACCACCCTGTATCTGTGCCGATTGAATATCAGTTAATAGTGAATCAAAAGTTGGGATTGGGACATTTATGTAAGCCGTTTCGACCTATAATGAATAGTTTCGACACAAAAAAAAACATAAAGTTGAATAATCTCGATTTTGAACACCCTATCTTCCTTTGTTATCTTTCTCGAAAGACCCCAAGTGTGCACATCGATTAAATCAGCTCTTCAGGAAGAATTTGAAAATGCGATGAAATACAGAGTGCTCGACAGAGTGTTTCTTCTGAAATATCAATGTTGCGACTACTTTCTAGTAGAAGCGGCAACACTGCATTATCGAAAGTATTTTGAATGAAGAGAGCGTATTCTAAAATATAGGCAAGCACATTCTCATGGATTTCTCTCAAATAATTCTCGATATAAAGATAGTATAAGCTCGTCGTAGCACAACCTAACAGGGTGTTTCAAAAAAACCTAATCTTCCTGCTAGGGTAGGTAGAACATTGCAAAATGAGTTGAGTTTGCTCAGTAAAAAAATCTTCACCATTCGTTTTCAAGAAACAAGGTGTTGAATAAATATTTTTGTTTACATTTTTTTTACGATTATGTTGAAACTACTGGCAATATTGTAATGAAATTTTGCATAGATGTGTTTTGGAAGCTGACACATTGCATGAATTTGTTTTTACATCCGACACTTATAGAGGGGAACTTTTTTCAATATTTTATTTACGAATTAAATATTGTAAAGTTTCGGAGCATCGGCTGGGGATAGTCCTGCACGATTCGCTGTTGCGTTCCAATTAACAGTGCTGCTCCTAAAAGTGGCGCATGGAGTTAGTAACAAAGCCTACACAGAACACGCAGAAAGATATGACGATGTGGTTGTGAGCATCAGAGAAGAAGTAGGACGGTGTATGTAGGTGGGTGTGGAAAACTACCAGCTGAGCGTGAGAGCGGGCCAGCTGCTTAAGTAGACCTCGGTCTCGGGGGTTAACGATGATAGTTAGCAGGCCTGCCACTACGCATATGGTAGTGAGTACATTACTAGCCTACGTGTATGTAGGTGGGTGCGGAAAACTACCAGCTGAGCGTGAGAGCGGGCCAGCTGCTTAAGTAGACCTCGGTCTCGGGGGTTAACGATGATAGTTAGCAGGCCTGCCACTGCGCATATGGTAGTGAGTACATTACTAGCCTACAAAACACAGCTGAAAAACTCTGAAAAAAGAGAGCTGATGGGCGGTGCCTGAAAAGGATGTTAGCCAGCTCTCTTGAGCGAACCACATCAGTCATTGAAAACACTTGGGGTTGGCAAAAAGGTCCCATTGGGGACTAGTTGCTGACGTGGAAACGTCCCCCACCAGTACCAGTACCAGTAGAGGGCGCTAGTTACACGGTTCGTACCGAGTAATTTTAAACATAACTTTTTTGAGGTTAGATTTTTCACTCCAAATTCAATGTGAACTCGAACATCATTCAATTACACACTAAGAAGGTGCTCTTGGTTAAGACTCGATACTGTATATCGTTGTCGGGATATTTCGATTTGAAAATGCTGAAGTATAACACTGATGCTAGTTGAAAGTAAGTATTATGAAAGACTGTTACCTATTTATTGTTAACCTCGTCGAGAGCTGCTGGTGTGTATAATCTCTGGCTGCAAGAAAGAATTGAACATTACTTCGATGATCTCATAGCTGATTCGTAACAGTTGAGAAGATTGATACATTCTATAGAAATGAGGATCGAATTGTGTATTCGTGAAAACGGAGGAAATTTCGGACATTTACTGTAACTAGATGATGTTTTGAGTCGAATTCAATTAAAGATTTTCTGATGTGATTTTGTTTAATCGATTACCTCAGCAGTAAAATAATGTTTATGTTTTTCTCGTGTTTTTTGTCCTCAATAAATATATAATTGTTTTATATAATACTTAATCTAATACCAGAATCAGAGTTATTGCTTCAGCATTTTTACAAATCGAAATATCTCGAAAACGGTACACAGTATCGAGTTTTAACAGGAGCATCATTTTGGTGTAAAATTGAATGGTGTTCTAGTTCACATTGAATATGGACTGAAAAATCAAAAGAGTTATGTTCAAAAGTACTCGGTACGAACCGTGTAACTAGCGCCCTCTATGAGTGTCAGATATAAAAACAAATTCATGCGGTGTGTCAGCATTCAGAACACATCCATACGAAATTTCATCACAATGTTGCCAGTAGCTTCGACATAATGTGTAAAAAAAAATATTTTTCCAACACCTTGTATCTTGAAAACGGATGCCGTTACGACATTTTTTCACTGAGCAAACCCAACTTATTTTTCAATGTTCTACCTACCCTAGCAAGGGGGTTAGGTTTTTTTTTGAGACACCCTGTATAAGAATCTGAATTTTTGTCATGTCCATAATTCATCTGAGGATATTGATTTTCAATAGTTTGTAATAAGTTTGCAAAACTTATGTATTCATTCCAACTCTTTAGGAATAGTGTCCTAATTACAGCAGATTATTATGAACTAGAAGTTCAACGCGGTTTTCTCATAATGACATATGTGGCAAATACAGAGTTCTCATTTTATACTACTCATGCGATACTTTGACACTTTGGGGGACGCTTTGAGGATACCCTGTATCTTACCTTGTAAGGTCGGCATTGATTCTTATGACTCTTCCACCCACTTCTCTGATGTTCCTTGCAGCAATAATAAACATTGTGACATCCTCCGCACTTGTGACTGGCTTGCTTCTGGCACACCTCACACTTTTTCGCCTCCTCATACATTGCGTTTTCGAAATTTCACATGCATGAATATGACTACACTAGTAAGAAACTAGGGAAAGGGCTTTATGGTGATGTAAATATGGAAGAGATAGGTATACACGTGTTTTCAGATGACACCTATATTAGCTACTTCAATTATTTTTGAACGGAATACTGTTGGTAGATATTCGAGATGGTTGGAGACTAACTAACAGCGGCAGCATGAGTACGCGAGACGACTACTAAAAATAAAAAATAGAAATAGAGTAGGTTGGGAATAGAAATAATAGTATGGATGTTGCATCGTTTAAACATACTCATTTGAATCAGGTAGATCTGCGAACAGAGTCAGTCCATCCAATGATTTTTCGTAAAGTGACAAAGGAAATATCATAATGAGAATCATCGAAAATTCCTTGTTATCACATCGAGTTTTCTGATGAAATACAGGGTGATCCACGGTAGATGGCCTGTTAGAAGTATCTGGGGAACGGAAAGACAGAATATTCTGAAAATTGGGATGCTTTGATAATTGAACATCCTCTATCCGTCTTGAATATTTTGATCGATACAGTGATGCCACTTCTATCAGAAACAACTAGTAACTTTGTTATTTCAAAAGGAACACCCTGTATTTCATTACATCTCCAGATCCTTCCTGAAGAGCCTATTCTATCATCGCATCATACTTGGGGTCTAGCAGGAATGATTACAGAGATATAGAGTGTTCAAAATCGAGATTCTTCAATTTTATGATTCTTTTGTGTCGAAACTATACATTATGGATCGAAACTATCTACCGGAATTTAATTGGAAAAAATACAGGGTGCTATTCAGGAAGAATCTTAAAATGCAATCAGGGTGCTCCATTCAAAATAACGAAGTTGCAAGTTGCTTCTGATAAAAGTGGCAACACTGTATCGATGAAAATATTTCAGACGGATAGAGAATGTTCAATTATCAAAGCATCCTAGTTTTCAGAATGTTTTGTCTTTTCGCTCTCCAGATACTTCTGATAGGCCATCCACCGTGGATCACTCTGTATAGTGAGCTTATTCAATTCCAAATATATTCGTGAAATAGAAATACTGAAATGTATGAATATATCATTCCAGAACTAGAGGTTTTCTCCTTCAACATTGTATCTTATTCAAATGATGATTAGAACAAACCTCTAAAGCTGTCGCTAAGATTTCCAGAACTAGTCAATACTGTCAGTTTCGAGTCATAATTGACTATTCCAGGACACGTGATTTTGACATGGTTTCTTGAGGGGCACACAAACTATCTGTTAGGTTACCTTTGATGAGCATAGCCCTGGCCATCCCTGCCATATCCACAATATAATAACAGTTTCACCAAACAAAATTATGGAATTCTCTCTGGTTCCAACTCGGATTCCAAGGAAAACGATATGCCACTAATTCTGGTTTCATATGACAAATCATAAAGCAAAACAATGTTTGCCCCTTAGCAACTTGTCAAATGACGTAATTCTGGAATGATTAATTGGAAACCGCATTGCCTTCCGAAAGACCTTGACAAAGATTTCATTCAGCTGTGACCTACTCACGTCATTCAAACGTCAGTTTGGATAGAATAAAAGACGTCTTTTGGCCGAATGTGATTCCACAGTTTGAGGAATGCCATCTTCTAGACGTCATATAGTCGCCATCTTTGCCATGTGCTACCTGGGCAATGCCCTGTATAATGAAAACTACAGTCTGGTAATTCAAAAAATGAAGCAATGTCTCCTCATTGCCCCAAATTCATTATTACAATTTTTTTGTGAGTGATATTCTCTATTTCGAAATTACAAAAATAATCCTATCGTTTGCGATAATATATCGGTAGGGAAAAGAATCATTTATCGACCAATATGGTATGAAACTTGTCTGTAACAGTGTATTTCCTGGCAATTTTCGATTTTGTATTTGCTTTTGACTCGTATATACAAGGTGCTTTTGAAATAAGTGCACATATTCAGCATATTAATTTGATACAGTCTAAAGAATATTCCGATATCAGATTTTCTTTGATTCTTTCAATTGACGAAAAATTCCATCCCAGAAATTGAACAAAATTCGAGAAAAAAATCAAGTACGCTACTTTGAAACTTTGAAACAATTCAAATGATTGAACTCCACATGATTGTGCCTACCGCATGGGAATTTGGACAGAGGTGACGTCAGATTTGCTACAGTGTAGAATTTTGGGTGGAAGAAGGGGTATAACCTCAAATTTTATTATGATTCCTGATTTTTTTTCATCAGTGCCATTCGATAGTACACGTCGAGCTTTCTCAGAGTTCGAAATATGTGCACTCATTTCAATGCCACCCTGTATACAAAGCCACTTTCCGCAAATAAATCCAAGAATCGTTTCCTATTTATTACTCATAGTGATTTATAGTAGTGAGTTATAATAACACGTTGTTTGATCACAAAGACTATTAATTAATCAAAAGAAGTTTGTTAATTGATATACAGGGTGTCTGTAAAAGGTCTTTACAAAAACATACCACATATTCCTTAGACCAAAATAAGTTGATTCAAGTGAAATTGCCTCAGTACAAAGTTGCATCTTTTGGGCTCCAGAGGGCCTTGAAGTTATAATTTTCAAAACGTTTTTCCCATATGCGATTTTGCTGAAATTTGGTATATTGATAGAGTTTTATGTGGCAAAAATAATGGTGTTAAAATTTTGTCCGATAATAATACATAGGCGTAGAACTGGATTTTTTAAATAATTGCACCTTCAAAAATTCTACGCCAATGGAAGAAAAGGAGTTTGGGTATGAAATTTAGATTGCGCAACTCATTCACTTTGAGGAAAGTACTCTTGATAAGACTTGATTGCTCTCATGGTTTTGACGAAATATGCATTTTAGTAATTTCAGAACATAAACAATAATTATTAAAATACAAACTTTGTCAACACCATGAGAGTAAATCGAGTGTTATCAAAGGAACTTCCTTGTAGTGAATGGGTACCCAATAAACATTTCATACTCAACCCCTTTTCTGCCATTGGCGTAGAATTTTTAAAGGTGCAATTATTTGAAATATCAATTACACTCGATTTACTCTCATGGTTTTGACAAAGTTTGTATTTCAATCATTATTGTTTAGGTTCTAAAATTACTAAAATGCAAATTTCGTCAAAACCATGAGAGCAATCAAGTTCTATCAGGAGAACCTTTTTCAAAGTAAATGTGTTGCGCAATCTGAATTCCATACCCAAACTCCTTTTCTTCCATTGGCGTAGAATTTTTGAAGGTGCAATTATTTAAAAAATCAAGTTCTACGCCTATGTATTATTATCGGACAAAACTTTAACACCATTATTTTTGCCACATGAAACTCTATCAATTCACCAAATTTCATCAAAATCGCATATGCCGTTTTGAATTTATATGCTAAAAACGAATTTAAAATTGTAACTTCAAGACCCCCTGGAGCCAAAACGGTGCAACTTTGTACTGAGGTAATTTCACTTAAATCGACTCATTTTGGTCTAGGAAATGGCACTGGGACGAAATAGCGCAGGACAAAATAGCGCTGACAAAAGAGCGCAGGACAAAATAGCGCAGGGACGAAATAGCGCAGAGACGAAATAGCGCAGAGACGAAATAGCGCAGGGTCATAATAGCGCAGAGACGAAATAGCGCAGAGACAAAATAGCGCAGGGTCATAATAGCGCAGGGACATAATATCGCATAGATGAAATAGCGCATCAGGACAGAATATCGCATAGAGGAAATAGCGCATTGACAAAATAGCGCAATTCAATGTAACCCAGTATAGTTCTGGGTGGAGTTGTATAATCATTTATGCATCTTGACCAGTTTCAATCAAGGAGTTCATGTGATTGCTATCTGTCACTGTCAGATATAAGTAGTCAAAATGCAAAAATCACAAAAAGGTGGAGACATTCTTTGTCAATAAATATAGAGTTGGTTTCAGAAATGATGGTGCAGGTAATAGTAAATATGAACAAAAAAAAGAGAGAATCAAGGTTTTGCTCAACAATTACTCATTTAGAAACCTACAACAACATTTGCGCTCAGTAGCATATAATTTATCGTTGTAACTCTGTCGAGGTTTTTCATTGTAGTTAAAAATCATTATTATTGTTATTAAATATATATTTATATATATATTGTCGATTTGATTCATTGTGTCTGTGTTGTTCATCAATTCATAAACTATGAGTAATGGTACGAAATAGCGCAGGAACAAAATTGCGCGCGAAAATGGAGTGCAGGATCTATGATTAGGTTTGTTCGTTTGTTAGAGTAAAGACTCATTTTAAATGAGTCAATACTCTAGCAAACAAACTAACCTAATCATAGGTCTACTTTAACAATCCAACGGCATACCTAGTATTAAGTTATTTCGTTTGTAAGGGTGGTCTCCTTTTGAAACATCTAGTATTTGAAGAAATAGTCTATGCCCTGACAAACGAATTGACGTAATCATAGATGATGCACTACGTTTTCGCGCTCAAATTTGTCCCTGCGCTATTATGACCCTGCGCTATTTTGTCTCTGCGCTATTTCGTCTCTGCGCTATTTTGTCTCTGCGCTATTTCGTCTCTGCGCTATTTTGTCTCTGCGCTATTTTGTCTCTGCGCTATTATGTCCCTGCGCTATTATGACCCTGCGCTATTATGTCCCTGCGCTATTTTGTCCGCGCTATTTCGTCCTGCGCTATTTTGTCCTGCGCTATTTCGTCCCAGTGCCCTAGGGAATATGTGATATGTTTTTGTAAAGATCTTTTACAGACACCCTGTATAATTCAAAAGGAGTAGATGAATGAATTAATCAAATAAAAGTGAGCCATCTTTTCATTCAAATATTATATTCAGGTTATATACACTCAGTAGATAGATACTACTAATCATTCTGTATTGTATTGATATTTATTTTGGAAGAAGGCATACCCAATGAACTTCCTATTCATATTTCTCATAATACATCCAGTCCTTCGGTCTAGCCAACTCTATAATCCTTGAAGTCGGTTGATACTTCAAAGCACTGGGACTAACCGAAGAAATCGACGTATTAGCTGTTCCGACTAATTCTCTACATTTTGGCGTGACTGCCTTTGGTCGCGCAAGAGACCTTATCCTCTTCGTAGCCTTGTATTTCAACGTGGAATTCTTCACTTTCCAGTGACTGTCGTCCATGTTCACGATTGGTCTCTTCTTGGGTTCAGCTAATGACGAGAGATTCTCGGATATGTGACTAGTACCTGGAGATCCGATCTGCTTTATTTTTTTCTGGCTCTTGGGCTTTCTCGAGAAAGTTTCTGGATGTATTTGCCGGAAGCCGTCTGGAATGTTTGAACTGCCTTTGAGGATCGATTTGGTGACCATTTGAGCTGTTTTGAGTACTGGAATTTTTGATTTTGTATTGACAACGAATTGTCAGATTTTCTTTTCAATTGTCAAAATGCTGTACGAATGGATGACTTTGCTCCAAGTTGCCAACCTGAAAACCTTTACCGATATTGAAGCAACATTTTGGAAATTATTTTGATGAAATCTGATTGTAGTTAGGGTCCCTTGATGAAAATTGACGTTAAAGTCATCCTAACAGGGTACGGACAGATCCTCGTCTCCTCTCACTCTAAAGTGTTTGTGAAACAGTTATATAGTTCCATCCTCATTCAATTCTAGGGAAAAACACTAGATTTTTGACATTCGTTGTTTTTTAGGTTATATTGAGGTCACTGGCGTATCATACGTAATTTCCATATGGAATTCCCGATTCAACTATACCAAGATATAGATGAACAGTCCTCTAGATTTAGAGTTTACTACTCCAGCATAATCTTTGCGAGGTAGGGAACATATAAATTGTACTGAAAGCTTAATATATTTCAGTAAGAGAGACTGTTCTCAGACTGTATACTAGGGTTGACTGAATTGACTGAATGAATTCTGATGTCAAGCTGAGCAGAAGTTTATCTATCAGCTCAATGAGCTGAGCCTTATGATCGAGAAATGATGGAAACCGAAACTACTGTACTTATTCATGTGTGCTCAATATATTTTTGGAAATCCAGCTCGGTGAAGAATTTATGGAGTGACTAATATCACGTATATCATGTATAAAACTTTGTCTAGGACGAAAAGTAGGCTGATAAAAAGTAATACGTGAAATAATATGCAGGAAAATAAAGAATAGAATATACTTTACCCCATGTTATACATATGATTTTTCCGTCTCCCTCAAATTAAAAGTCATTTTCGAACAATTGATTGATAAAAGTAACAAAGAAGTAGGTATACGCAGTATAACTTATAGTCACGTTATTTGAGTGGTAGAGTAATAATCATATAAACTTATGTCTTTAGCTATATCGAATCCGCCATCTTGAATTTCCCAATTTTGACGAAACGATCATTATCTCTTACCCCGAAAACCCCCAGATACCAATTTTGAATAGAATCGAATCTCCATTACAAAACTCGTCCACCATAATGGATCCGCCATCATGAAAATCCCAATTTAGACGAATTAATTATAATCTCCGACACCACGGAAATTCACATATACCAATTTTGATTTCTGAATAGAATCGGATCATAATTACAAAATTCGTTCGCCATATTGGATCCGCTATCTTGAATTTCTCAATTTTGACAAAAAATCATAAAGTTCAACCCCGAAAACCCCCAGATACCAATCTTAAATAGAATCAGATCATAATTAGAAATTTCTTTCGCTATACGGGCTGATTCACGGTGGCAGCGCTGAGAATATTTCAGGTCGATAGAACACAACTAATAATTCAAGGCACCAACTTTCCAGAATAATCCTGAGTTGCGTTTTCCAGAAACGTCTAATGTGCCATCCACCGTGAATCAGCCTGTATATTGGATTGGTCATCTTGAATTTTCCAAGTTTGACGAAAGAATCATTATCTCCAACCCCGGAAAACCCGAGATATGTTCCAATTTTGAATAGAATCGGATCATAATTACAAAACTCGTTCGCCATATGATCTTCAACAAGTAAACACCCTGTACATACCTATTATTGAAATTTTGAATGGTTTTCTGTAGCGCCCATGGATGTGACGTGACAGCAATGTCAGGGATGCCAGTAGACAAAACTAAAGTCTCCAGATCATTAAAAAAGAATGCAGCTATGATCTGTCCGTACCCTGTTAAGATGACTTTAACGTCAATTTCCATCAAGGGACCCTAGTCTACTCAGCGCAGTAATAGGAGTTATTCAGAAGAAACATACATTTTTGTGAGCTCCAGTTTTGATCGTCGCAATTTTTATAATACTTTGTTACATATTTAGGATTATTTTATCAAGTACAATATCAAGAAAAGACATATTGATAAATCGAAGCTAACTGAACATATTCTTACTGAAGATGGACAACATATGGCAGAGTGGAATAATATAAAAATCATAGAAAAGAAAGAAAACAATCAAATAAGAAGAATCAAGGAATCCTTCTAAACGGAGACAATAACATTGCTTCCTTTCCAGTTGATATAATTAGAACATGGTATTCACAACTGAAAACTAAACATGGAAATGATAGATTCAAGATCAATTAATGAAAACATCTTATTACTCTTTTGTAGACTAAAATCACCCATTCATTTGCCAACATCAGTATGACACTGGAAAGTGTCAAACTATAAGCAGCACAACTTTCAATGAAAAATATTTTGCATTTACTTCACATGTTGAGAACGGGAGCAGATTCGGTCCCGAAACGTCCAAAGATACGTGAAAATTCGATATGTCCTCAATATATCTATATTTATTTTCATCAAACATGTTTTCAAACAAATTGTCACTGACAAGCTACAGGATTTTTCTTTCAGACTCCCTGATAGAGAAATTTGTTGAACGCAGTGACATATTGGGGCAAATAATCTGATTTTTCCCATTACATATATATTGAAATAATACGAATATTTTCATTTTTCTCCGATTGGCAGCGAATCATAATTTTGCTGACACATATCAATCAGCAAAGTATTACTTTTTCTACCTAGGCATAGCAAAGTGAGTACTTTGCTGATTGATATAATAATAATAATAATAATAATAAACGTCTTTATTACTTCTGAATAGAGAATGATATATAAAGTATGGGTGGATAATAATTTTCAGAAGCAAAGGGCGAAGTTCAACTCAGTTTCTAGATGACTCCGTCCACTGAGTTGCTCTACCACTTAACCCTCAAATACCTCTACAATTCAACATATAGGAACAACAAAGGAAGAAATTAGAAAAAGTGAAAAAATAGTACATATGGATGATAACATATAATAGGAAGTCTGAATGTTGTTATTGATTTGAATTAAACAGATGTGAAAATAATATATTCGTTTTGAATTTATGAAACACTGCTGATTTCAATTGATGTGGGATATTATTGTAAATATGGCATATTTGATAACTGAAGCATCTTCGGAAAAGTTCTGTTTTGAAAGGGGGAGGAGACAATACTCCTCTAAACCTAATATTCACATTGTGAACGTCCGTACGGAAAACAATTTTTTTATGGAGATAGGAAGGTTTTTTACTGATGATAATTCTATGAAAGAGGTTAGCGGTCTGATGAAGTCTCCTGTTTTCCATAGTCAGCCAACCAGCATCTTTCATCTTATGAGAGATTCTCTGGCCTCTTCTTATCCCATACATCAATCTCAAGCATGAATTGTGGAGCTTTTGTATCTTATTTTTGTAAAGTTTTGTTAAATGTGGTCCATAGACACAATTGGCATAATTGAAATGTGATAAAACGAGAGTTTCACACATAATAACTTTCAATTTAAAAGGAAGAACATGCCTAACACCATAAATAGTTTTCAGCGAAGAATATGCACGTCGCAAAAGATTATCAACATTCTTTTCAAATCTGAGAGTATGATCAAGGATGACCCCAAGATTTTTAGCTTCCTCTACCAGCTGAATTGGTTCACCATTTATTGATATATTTACGGATTCTAGTACTGCAGATCGTTTGGTTTTGGGTCCAAACAGTAACACATTAGACTTACGAGAGTTTAACAGTAGACAATGGTCTGTGGCAGTTTTAACAAACTCATTCAGATTTTTATTGATTATTTCACAGGAAACTTCTACACTTTGAGGAGGAAAGCTGTAATAAACTTGGGTATCATCTGCGTAAAAGTGCACTCTACATTCATCCAGATTATTGATGAGATTTGAAGTGTAGATTGCAAATAAAATTGGTCCCAAAATTGACCCTTGTGGTACTCCCCGCTGAAGAGGAAGTAGAGATGAGAGCACCTCACCAATTGCAACTCTTTGAGTTCTATTATTGAGGTAATTTCTAACCAATGTTATAGCTGCAGCTGACAGGCCAATGTAATGTAATATGGATATCAACAACTCATGATTTATAGTATCAAAGGCTCTGCTGAAGTCGAGTAGTACCAGAGCGGTACAATTCCCGTCGTCTGTTGCTCTGACAATATCATCTACAACATGTAGCAGCGCTGTTGCACAACTGAACCCTTTTCTGAATCCAGATTGAACAGATGGTAGCACATTATATTTCTCAGTATGTTCCAAAAGTTGAAACTCGATGGCCCTCTCCAATATTTTAGAAATAGCTGGAAGTATACTTATGGGGCGCAGATCCTTATACTCGGTCGGGTTTGATTTTTTAGGCAGTACTTTTACAAGAGCACTACCCCATGATTCTGGAAATACACTTTTTCTTAGACAGAAATTTATTATATATGTGATGTATTCTATAATGAATGGGCAACATAGTTTTATCAAAGAAATATTCAAATTATCATTCCCGGTTGCATTTGTTTTGATTTTACAGATTGATTCATATACAAACAAATCATTAACTTCTCTGAAAAAAAAATTAGAATCAGCCAAGCAATTATTTTTATAGAATTCCATGAGAGTGTCTGGTGGTTTTATGATGGGTATTGAGTTGATGAAAAAATTATTAATTTCATTCACATTTTTCAGAGATTCGGGAATATCCACATCTTTATCAGAAATAACTTTATTCTGTTTTAGAGTACGCCACATCTTTTTTGGATTGTTTTGTTGAAACTGAAATAGAAAGAATGCTTTTTTCTCCCTATTGATTGCTTTGTTTGTATAATTCCTCATATCTTTGTAGAAACGAAAATCAACTTCCAGCTTGTTTTTTTTATATTTGAGCAAGGCCTTGTCTCTCGTCTTCATCATTTCTCTTATAGTGTCTGTCAGCCAGGGAGCCTTTGGTTTGGTTACTCTTGCTCTTACTATGGGGGCATGTCTATCAAATAAATTTGTCAAATTGTTGACAAGAAATGAAACCATCTCATCAATACCATCCTGATCAAAAATTCTGAAGAAGGGT